TTGTCCTAAGGAGACTCCACAGCAGAATTGTCAAGACCTGAGCAATCAGAGGACAGAGGAGCTAGAAGTCCAGGTGGCAGGATACGCCTGGATAGCAAAGAGAGAGAGTCTGCAATGCCCATACAAGGGACAGCAGTCTAAACCCTATCTTGCATAAGCAGATGGAGTCTGACAAAGACTTGCCCTAAACTGTCTCCCCTGTGGGATTGACCTAGTCCTAGTCCTAGTAAGCCCTTGGTGGGCAGCCTGGGAGAGCAGGGGTTAGGGTAGCCCAGTGTTGGACAGGACACCATGGGAGACAGACCCCCATGTGTTTTCTGGCTCATCTCCATCTCTCAAAGCTTTTGGACATGCACACAGCTGGAGGAGATCTCCCTGGTGGAGAACTTTGGAAAGCTCCCTCTAGTGAGACTGGGCATGGGTGGCAGGGTTGGGGTGGGGACTGCCTTGAGAAAGCAGCTGAGGAAAGGTTTCTTGAGCTTGTAAACATATTGAGCAATTCTGTAGTATACAACATCAGCACACAAAAACCAGGTGCTTTCTTACATGTCAATAATGAATATGTTGAGAAAGAAATCAGGAAAACAGTTCCATTCACACTAGCCTCAAAAGATCTTCAGAATTAATTTAACAAAAGAGATGAAAGACCTCCTCAAAGAAAAGTATGGAAGGCTGGAAAAAGTAAGAGAGAAGACACCAGAAAATGGATGCCGCAGTCTGGCTGGGCACAAAATAACCGAGCCACCACAAAAGGCTTGTAGATTCCAACAGTAACTCTTTTTTCCTGAACTCTCACTGGCACTCTACACGCATGTCCTGGGAAAATACACTCCCTCCACCGGGTTCTGGGTACCAATACTCTTAGAACCCTGTGAGAACTCCAGGGGAACTCAAGGAGTGGGTGCCTGAGGCAGCAGGATAAGCCCTATTCCCAGCAGGATCCACCCTAAACCTAGAGCCACCCTAATCCAGCAGGATCCACCCTAAACCTGGAGCCACCCTAATCCCTGAGCAGGTCACCTTTCAACCAAAAATGCCATGCATCATTCTTACTTGGCTATGGCTCTCAGCAAAGGGAAAGCCCTCCCATGTTCAGAGTTAGGAAAAATTAATATTGTTAAAATGGCCACATTACCAAGCAATCTACAGGAGTCAATGCAATACTCATCAAAATATAGTTCTGAGAAGAACTGGAAATAACAGTTCTACAATCTGTGTGGAAGTACAAGAGACTCAGAATAGCCAATGCAACTCAGATGCAGAATAACCAAAGCAGAGTAGAGCTGGAGGCATCACAATACTCAATATTGAAATACTGAAATCCTTCAGGATTTAGATAACATGGATCAATTTGTCTAATTATGAGCTTTTTGCATTGAACCTCCAAGGTCATATGAATGTCAATTATCAGTCTGTAGCCCTTCAGCTTGATCTATTTGATCCACTGGCCTCCATGGTCATGTTTCTTCCTTCCAAGGTTCTGCATCAGGAAGCTCCTATTTGAGACTGAATTGATAGCAATCTTAGGGACTGAGCAGGCACTCAATGGGCTCCAAGCAGGAGAGGGGCGTTCGATCTGTGTTCTTTAGTTATAACCCAGCAGAGATGCACCATACACTAGTGAATTCTGAAGTAGACATTGGATGGAGGAAGGTCCATTAGAAATGTTTCCTCCTCCTCAGGTCAAACATCACACTTTGACTAGCTAAACTGGACAGTCAGGAAACTAGCTGTGCAGGTTAAAAATCTAAGTCAGGAAAACAGTTGTAAAAGCTTGAAACTCATTGTTACTGGGATAATAATCCAGAGCCCAGAGCCCATTTGTTTGCCTTCCCCTCCAGGATACTGGGAAAGGAGGAAAGACCAGAGAGAGCACAAGGCACTTTGTTTGCCTTTTCTCTCCCAGGACCCATTGTCCTCCCTCAGCCCTGGGGGTTGTCATTTCCCTTTTCTAGGGAGATGTTGTTTTCCATATTCTTCACTTATACATAGAATTAACCCTTTAAACACCCTGTTTCCACTGCTCATGTCTACCTAGAACCACCACCATGTTCCTTGGCATATAAATTTCCACTTATCTGTGCTATATTCAGAATTGAGTCCAGTTCTATACTGAGGTCTCTACTCCCCTACTGCAATTGTCCTAAATAAAATTTGTTCTGGGGTAGGGGTATAGCTTAGTGGTAGAACACTTGCCTAGCATGTGCAACACATTGGTCTGATCCCTAGCATTGAAAAAAAAATTTTCTTTACTGCTTTGTAAGGGTGAAGCAGACCAGTTAGCCCCATCCAAAAGACCATTGCCACAGTTAAGCTTTTTTCCTTGTCAGAAAGAATTTTACCAAGGGTGTCAATAGGATATCAGCAAAAATTTCTGTGGTTTGTAGCTTCCTCTTTCTTATAAATGCCAGGTTTGCAGACAAAATTTGTGAAACCTCTGTCTAGCCTAAAAATGTGGGACAAAGAGTCACTGTTATGTACCCACCCAGTGACATGCAACCACCCCACTGAGTATAAGTCTAAAAGAATTTTCAGATTCAGGGTCCAAAGCTTTTTAGGCATTAGCCTCCTCTGGACTGCTGCAGCTAAAATAAACCTGATTTCTGGTGTCCAGCCACATCTGTCCTATATCAAGGGGACAGACAGATTTAGATGTAAGGTGTAAGGGGACAAATAGATGAAGATGGTGGGAACACAAGGTTCAGAGAATAATTCTATAAAATGAGTTCACTGTACTGATTCTCCACATGCTTTCTTTGCTAAAAAGCAATCTGCCTTCAGCCCTACCTGGCCTCGGGGGACAGGAAAAACACATTCCTTGCTTTTTTTGGCTATGCCTTTTGTTTCTTAATCTCTTCTTTAGGTTTGGACAGGAGAGTCTGTTTCTTACAGACATGACATCATAAATCAAGTTGGAGTAAACTATTATGAACTTAATAGTTTCATATACATTGTATAATATTTATCAAAACTACTGATAAAATGTCTTCACAAAGCAGATTCAAAACAGAACTTGATAAAAGCCACAAACTGCAGCTAACATGGGAACCTTGGTGATTATTATTAACCAAGACATGAATACCTTCTTTCTTATCTGACTTATAGTTAGGAGGCCCTGCACAAACAAGAAGAAAAATAAACGACTTATGACTATTATAATAACAAAAATGCACAGGAAATATTATTTATATTTAAGTCCAAAAAAAGGAACTTACAGATATTAAAGTTCAGCAAGGTTTCCAGACAGAAGGACCTAATTAAATACTTTTCAATAGCTTTCCTCTAGCAGAGCAACAGTCAATAAAACAATGAAAGAGAAAAGTAAAGACCTAAAGGACTGAATCAATGGAAAAGAGTTTATCGCACAGGTTGGTAGACTCAGAGTTTTAAGTATGATGGCCTGTGGACAGGGCTCTAGCAAGGGTATTAATGCATTTGATGAGCATGATACTCCCAGGCCTCAGGGAACCTGTGTGACAGGCTCTAACTTTAGCCCCGCCTCTAGGAATTTCCATGGGTTTCTCTTGGCAACCAGGTCTCATCTTAGACCCAACCTCTGGAATATTAAAAGCCACGTCCCTTGATCTGGTCTCACCTGAGTCCACTCGGCAGGCCTAGCCTCCCAGCCTCCTCTATGGTTCTGGTTCTCTTTTTACCTACAACCCCAGGAAAATTAGCAAGTTCCATGCGCTGATGGACTGAGCTGGCCGCTCCGCGCCACGCCTAGCTCCCAAAGCCCCGCCCCTTACGCAGAGCGTTTCTCAGAATGGGGAGGGGGGGTAGCGGGAGGCAGAAGGGCATGTCTGCGCACGCGCGAGGTAGCTCACTGTGTGCTTGAGGCCGCCATGACACTTTACGCTGCACCCCGCGTGTGAGATACATTCTTGCCTCAGTCCACATCCTATCCTGCCCGGCCGGGCGCCATCCAGGTATGGTCCGCGGGAGGCGGAAGGCTGGCTTCCTCTCGTCCGCCGTCGCATCCTATCCGTCCCGCCCCGCGCCATCCAGGTATGGGCCGCGGGAGGCGGAAGGCTGGCTTCCGCTCGTCCGCCGTCCCCAGGACCCCTTCAGCCGCGCGGCCCAGAGTCCCGTTGGCTCCGCCGGTGCCGACCTCGTCCCGGTGACCGCATCGGGGATTCCGGGCTGCGCCAGCGGCGGGCGCGTCTCCTGCAGGCCGGAGCTGGAGAGCCCCGCGACCTCTCCCTTCGGAGAGCAGAGGCCTCGCTTGCGTCGGGGTCCCGGTCCGGAGCTTCGTGCGGGTCTGCTGGTCTGCACACACCCGGCGTGGGGTGAGCTCGGCCCGCTGCCCCTGGGCCTCGCGCATTGTCTAGCGCGGGTCTGAGAGTTCCCCGGGGGCCTGGGGCATGTTTGACATGTTGCATTCAGATACACAAGAGGGAGCTGATTTTAAAATACTGTTAACCCGCCTCCTGGGCAAGTGCATTTCATCCTTAATAAAGTGATACATTTTAGCCTGGCGCGGAGGTGTACGCCTGTAATCCCAGCTACTTGGGGCTGAGGTAGAACTTGATCCCAAGTTCAAGGGCAGCCTGAGCAATTTAAGCAGACCTTATCTCTACACAAAAAATTAGAAGGACCAGGGGTGTACTTAAGTGGTAGAATGCCCCTGGGTTCAATCCCTAGTACTGCAAAATGCAGGGAGAAAGAAAAAAAAAATCTTGGTCACTTATTTATAGATTCTTTCAATTTTGCACAGAAAATGTGCCAGTTTGAATATTTTTTCTCCTAAATGTTTGTGTTTTCCATTTTTTTTTTGTTTCTAATTACTGCACTTGCCAGGACTCGCAGCTGAATGGAGATTAGCATATAATTTTCATTCTTGCCTTGTTCCTGATTTCAGAGAAAATTAATCAGTATTTCACTATTAAATAGAATGTTTGCATTTTTTTAATGTATAAAATCTAATCCTTTCTAATGGCCTAAGTTATTATTAGCAATGTACACTGAAATAGATTAGTTATTGCTTTGTGTCTAAGGGAATATGTCAAATAACATTTCTATGAATACTGTGAATTTCATTAATCAGTGATTCAATTTTTGTTTATTTTATTCTTGTGGCGCTGGGATTGAATCCAAGGACTCAACACTAGTAAGACACCGTACCACTGAGTCCCAGTGATTCAGTTTTATTCTTTTTTTCCTTTTTTTAGTGATTCAGTTTTTAAGCATCCATCATTCCTAGGGTGAAATGAACTTAAATTGTGATTTATACTTATTGTTCATTTTTCAACTGTTACCAATACTTTTGTATTATTTGTACTTTGTATGTGATCTGGCATATTTTTTAGTTGTACCCTTCTGGTGTTGGAAGTAGGAAATTACCTTCCCTCTGTACACTGGAATTATGAATTTCCTACTTATTTTGTGAAATTTTCTGTAAAACAATTTGCAACTTCTGTTTCCTTGTGCATGTTTTAATATGATTCTTTTAATGACTGGATACAATGAAATTTTCTTCTTCCTCCTCCCCCTCTTCTACCACTACCATCACCACCCACCACCACCACCACCACCACCACCTCCACCACCTCCACCACCTCCACTACTTCTTCCTTTTCCTCTTTCTCATCTCTTCTAGATTCTACCTCTTGTAGTTCCTGTTACCTCCCAGTAGTCCATTCAAACTCTTAATCCATAAAATGGATTAATCCACTGATGAAGTCAGACCCCTTATAATCCAATCGCTTCCCCCAAGTCCAAACTCTGAACACTGCAGCACTGGAGACCAAGCCTTCAACACATGAGGCTTTGAAAGACATCCCAGATTCAAACCATAACAAATAGGTTGATTCTCTTTCTCAGAAATTAGGTTTTGTGGTGCCCATTGGGTGGGGTTGGGATGACAGCAGTGTTCAGGGCTTTGTAGTAATGCCTATTATCATGTAAAATGGTAAACAAGTAAAAATGTTGGTCAAGGAGCCCCAAGAAGCCTAGTGTTTAAAATTAGTGCTTTCTTAGATATGAGTCAGGGAATATATATTCTTAGGGTTGAAGGCACCACTTGATACATTTCATGCTTTTTGTTATGGGGAAATGGACAGCCAGATGTTCTTAAGACTTGAGTTAATTTACTAATAAAATGTTACTATTAACCTCTTTTGTATCATTGACATGGATAAGAGTGTTTTTTTTGTATCTCTAGGGAAGAAAGGATTGTTCCAGTTTCACACAAGTTCAGTTTGTATTTACTTGGGAGTCATGGTATATGTGTTTTGAGTTGTCACTGGTAATGGATGTGCTACAATATCCAGGCTCATGAGTATGGGAATTCTCTGGAGGGTTGGATTCCCATGTCAGCTCCTGTCTTACCTATAACTTCTCAATGTCTTACTTTTCTTTATGAAGGTGACATGGAGGAAGAAAGAATAAGTGTTGGGTTACAGAAAAGTATGATGCAGGTAAGTAAAAGGTATAATGCTCTAAAAGAATATTTCTATTTCATTTGATATCCTGCTGCTATTTTAGAGCACAGGTTAGCAATCTGCTTCTTTTTTTTGGATCACATGGTATGTATTTTAGGTTTTGAAGGTCATAGAATTTCTCTTACAAGGAAATTGTAATTTTAATACAAAAAATATTCATAGAGGAACATAAAAAATGTTTTATTGTATTGCAATAAAACTTTACTTACATAAGTAGGTGATAGGCTAGAGTAAGTGCATGTGCTATAGTTTGGTGAGCCCTGGCCACAATACTATAAAACCGAGCCAGCTGTGGGCCTGAGTTGAAAGATGTGCAGGCTCTTGGGCCTCTCAGGATTGTGAGGGGGGAAAAAGGAAAAGTTCCCATTCACTCTTTGTGTTTTCATTCATTAAAACCTCATCAAGATTTAAACCTGAGTTTGATGTTGTGCTCAATGCCTTAATAGGAATAAAGTAGCAGGTGAAGTTATTCTTGAATAAGGAAGAATTTCCAAATAAGGAATAATATGATATTGTCCAATATGTGGTCTTGGTCCCATATCCTGGCATAGAGTTCCTAAAACCCTTCAAATGTCTGGAGTGATAAGAGTAGCTTTGTATGATGACTGGTGACCAGGACAGATAGCCTCAGGATGACTGCTGGTCCAGAAGAACTAAGATATGCTTGACTCTTCAGCCCTATCCACTAACCTTGAAGTTGAGAGGTACTGAAGGTTAAATTGTTTATTTAAATTGCTAATTTAAATCAGCCATGCTTTCTAGTAAAGCCTCTGTGAGAACCCAAAAAGAATGAATTTAGGGAGCTTCTGTATAGCTGAATATGTAGAGGTTCCTGGTACGAGGCACCCCAATAGGCATGGAAGTTCTGCAGCTTTTCCTACCCTGCTATGCCATATATATTTCTTTATCTGGATAGTTCTCTGTATTTATAAGAAACCATAAGCACAAGGAAGTGTTTGCTTAGATTCTGTAAGCCATCCCAGCATATTAGCTAACTCAAGGAGGGTACAGTGGGGACCCTGAGATGTAGCCATGTGGTGAGAAGTATAAATGACAATGTACTAGTTGTTATGTTGCTTGAAGTATGGGGAAGTTTTGTGGGACTGAGCCCTCAACCTGTGGGATGAAGCTCTCCATGTAGATAGTGTAAGAATGTTAATGAATAACAGGAAACCTAGCTAGTGTCTGTTGGAGAACTGCTTGATGTGTGTGTAAAATTACCCACCTACCTAATATCCAGTGTTCTTTGCAGGTTCGAAGGAAAATAACTTTGATTTTTTGTTTTCTTATTTCATTACCATCAACTGAAAAGAGACTAATGTAGTATTTTAGAAGTATTTTGGCTTTTAGACAGGATTTGTTCAGTCACTAAGTATGTGTGAGTAGAAAGGGAAAGAGATCTGCTGACGGAGTCCTGACATAGACTTGGGGAGACCACAGAATCTTCTGAACCTCCCCTGAATTGATTCTCAGGTCCCCAGTGCTGTCAGCCTCACCCACCATCTCACACACACTGGAGGAATTGTACTTTCTGAACAGAATTTGTGGCATCTTTTAGGACTCGGTGACCTTTGAGGATGTGGCTGTGGACTTTACCCAGCAGGAGTGGGCTTTGCTGGATCTTGCTCAGAGGAGCCTCTACAGAGATGTGATGCTGGAAACCTTCCAGAACCTGGTCTCACTAGGTAAGATTGGCAATGTTGGTTCATGTAGTGGTTTAGAAAACAGTTTTATCTACTAGTTGACCTTGTTCCAGGATCTGTGCTGAGGAGTGGGAGTACTTGGTAAATAAGACAAACGTGGTCACTGACCACAGGGTGCTTACGATCTGGAGGCTTCTTCATGAAAATGAACACGGGCATATTAAACTTATTTTTTCTTTTTCTTTTTGTGGTTGAAAGCCTTGAGGCTTATTAAGTGTTGAATGTGTGGGCATTGAGGGGCTTCTCTGGGGCACAGGGAGACTTTGTGATTTGAGACCTTTGAAGAGTCTGCTGCCGTGAATGCCCTTTACCCAGAGACCACCAGGAGCACACCTGTAAGTTAAACAAGCGGGGTTTATTTTGCAGTCATGGGAGAACATACCCATGGGGAGTCGAGGGGCGTCTTAGTAAGAGGGCGTTAGAAAGTACCTATTAGAGAATTTGTGCTTTTTGGATGATTTAGAGATGAGTCTATGGGGTAGATTATATTGGTTTCTTAGGGTGTCTATGAACAAGTACCATAAAACTGGTGGGTAAAAAGTATAGAAATTTTTATTCTTTCATGTTTCTGGCATCTGGGAGTGTGAAACCAGGTGTCAGCAGAGCTATATTCTTTCTAAAGGCTCTAAGGAAAAAGTTCCTCCCTGTCTCTTTCTAGCTTCTGGTGGTTGCTGGCAGTCCTTTTTGTTTATAGATGTATCACTCCAGTCTCTGCCTCCACCATTACCTTCCCTGTTTACCTGTTTCTAATCTCTGTCCATATAGGGACATCAGTCATTGGATTTAGGGTCCATATTAATCCAGAATTACCTCATCTTAACTTTACTATATTGACAAAGACCTTGTTTCCATATAAGGCAACATTCTGAATATGGGTGAACATTTTCAAAATAGTCTTTAAAAAAATGTATGTGTTGTATGTACATTTGTACGTATGCATATATGTATGTATGTATGTGTGTGTTTATGTGGTACTGAGAATTTAACCCAGGGGCTCCCTACTACTGTGCGAAATCCCCCGCTCTTTTTTATTTTGTGAAAAGGGTCTTGCCAAGTTGCCCAAGTTGGCTTCAAATTTGGGATCTTCCTCTCTCAGCCTTCTGAATAGCTGGAGTTATAGGTGTGCACCACCATGCCCCAGAGTTACAGGCTTTAATTTTTAGAGCAGTTTCAGTTTCAAAGCAAAATTAACTGGAAGGTAGAGAGATTTCTAACAACTGCTGTCCTCACAACACAGACAGCCCCTTTCACTATGAACATCTTCCACCAGAATGGTCCATGTTTAATTTACAAATGATGAACGTACATTGACACATGTTCATCATTAACTAGAGTCCATAGCCTATATTAAGGTTCATTTGTGGTGTTGTACATTGTATGGCTTTGGGCAAATGTACAATGACATGTACCATATATATATATTCAGTAATATATAGAGTAGTTTTATTCCCCTAAAAATTTTCTGTGCTCTCACTTTTTAATCCCTTACTCTCTCTTAACCCTTTGGCAGCCACTGGTCTTTATATCATCTGTATATTTTTTATCTTTTGTGGAATGTCATAAAGTTGGAATTTATATAGTATGTAGCTTGTTCAGATTGGCCTATTTCACTCGGTAATGTGCATTTAAGTTTCGTTCATGTCTTTTTATGATTTTTCTTTTACTGTTGAATAACATTATGTAGTATAGATTTGCCACAGTTTATTTATCATCCCGTTTACTAAAGGGCATCTTGGATGCTTTCAGGTTTTGACAAGTATGAATTATGCTCTCATAAACATGTGTAGCCTTTTGTGTGCAGTTTTGACTCCTTGGATGAATGCCAAGGGACACAATTTAATTGCTGGATCATATGGTAAGAAGAGTTTTTTTTTTTAAATATTGATTTTTTAGATGGACACAATACCTTTATTTATTTATTTTTATGTGGTGCTGAGTATTGAACCCAGTGCCTCACATGTGCTAGGCGAGCGCTAACCCCAGCCCCATGGTAAGCGTATTTTTAATTTTATAAGAAACCACCAGATTGTCTTCATAAGTAGCTGTACCATTTTGCATTCCCATCAGGAATGAATGAGAGTTCCAGTTTCTCTACATTTTTGCCCATATTTGGCATTGTCAATTTTCTGGATTTTGGCTGTTCAAAAAGGCGTGTAAAGGTGTGTCACTGTTTTGTTTTTCCTGGGTGATTTTAGGATGTGGAGCGTACTTTTACTTTTTTACTTGCCATTTGTCTGTATTTGTTTAAGTGTTTGTTTAGGTCTTTGGCTATATTTTTATGGTATTTTTTTGTTCTCTTATTATTGATCTTTAAGATTTGTTTGTATAACGTAGCAAAAGAAATGATAAAGTGCGAAGAGACAGCCTTCAGGATGAGAGAAAATCTTTTCCACCTACTCCTCTGACAGGGGATTAACATCCAGAATATACAAGGAACAAAAAAATTCAACAGCAGAACAAAACAAACAAACAAACAAAAATCCCAAAGCAAACAAAAACCAAATAACCCAGTCAAGAAATGGGCAAAAGGGACTAAACAGATTTTTCAAAAGAAGAAATGTGGGCTGGGATTGTGGTTCAGCAGTAGAGAGCTTGCCTAGCATGGTAGAGAGCTCACCGAGCTCGTGCGAGGCCCTGGTTTGGATCCTCAGCACCACGTAAAAATAAATAAATAAAATAAATATATTAAAAAAAAGATTATTTGTTAAAAAAAAAAGAAGAAATGCAAATTGTTGATTGATTGTGTTTCTTCTTCTGTGAAGTGTCTATTCAGTTCCTTAGCCCATTTATTGATTGGGTTATTTGTGTTTTTGGTGTCAAGTTTTTTGAGTTCTTTATATATTGTAGAGATTAATGCTTTATTGGAGTTGCATGTGGTAAAGATTTTCTCCCAATCTGTAGGCTCTCTCTTCACGTTATTGTTTCCTTTGAGAGAAGAAGCTTTTAAATTTGAATCCATCCCATTGATTATTTTGACTTTGCTTCTTGCATTTTAGGAGTCTTGTTAAGGAAGTTAGATCCTAATCCAATGTGGTGAATATTTGGGCCTATTTTTTTCTTCTATTAGGCATAGGGTCTCTGTTCTAGTGCCTAAGTTTTTTATCTACTTTGAGTTGATTTTTTGCGCAGGGTGAGAGAGAGGTTTAATTTCATTTTGCTACATATGGATTTCCAGTGTTTGCTGTACCATTTGTTCAATAGGCTATCTTTTCCCCAGTGATTGTTTTTGGCATTCTTGTCTAGTAGGAGATAACTGTATTTATGTGGGTTTGTCTCTGTGTCCTCTATTCTGTATCATTGGTTGATACAAGTCTATTTTGGTGCCAATACCCTGCTGTTTTTTGTTACTATAGCTGTGTAGTATAGTTTAAGATCTGGTATTGTGATGCCACCTGCTTCACTTTTCTTGCTAATGATTGCTTTAGCTATTCTGGGTCTCTTATTTTTCCAAATAAATTTCATGATTGCTTTTTCTATTTCTATGAAGAATGTCATTGGGATTTTAATAGGAATTGCATTGAATCTGAATAATGCTTTTGGTAGTAAGGCCATTTTGACAATATTAATTCTGCCTGTCTAGGAGCATGGGAGATCTTTTCATCTGCTGAAATTTCCTTCAGTTTCTTTCTTTAGTGTTCTATGGCTTTCATGGTAGAGGTCTTTTGTTAGATTGATTCCCAGTTTTTTTGGGGGGGCTATTGTGAATAGGTTAGTTTTCCTAATTTCTCTTTCAGTGGATTCATTGATGATGTATAGGAATGTGTGTGACTTATGGGTGTTGATTTTATATCCTGCTGCTTTGCTGAAATCACTTATTCTAGAATTTTTCTAGTAAATTTCTTTGATCTTCTAAATATAGAATCATGTCATCAACAAATAGTGATAGTTCTTCTTTATCTATTTGTATTTCTTTAATTTCTTTCTTTTATCTAATTGCTCTGGCTAGAGTTTCAAGGATGATGTTGAATAGAAGTGGTGAAAGAGGACATCCTTGTCTTGCTCCAGTTTTTAGTGGGAATGCTTTCAGTTTTTCTCCATTTAGAATGATGCTGGCCTTGGGTTTAGCATATATAGCTTTTACAATGTTGACATATGTTCCTACTATCTCTAGTTTTTCTAGTGTTTTGAGCATGAAAGTGTGCTGTATTTTGTCAAATGCTTTTTCTGCATCTATTGAGATGATCATATGATCCTTGTTTTTAAGTATATTAATATAATGAATTACATTTATTGATTTCTGTATATGGAACAAACCTTGCATCTCTCGGATGAATCCCACTTGATCCTGGTGCACTATGTTTTAAATATGTTTTTTTATGTGATTTGCCAGAATTTTATTGAGAACTTTTGCAAATATGTTCATCAGGGATATTGGTCTGAAGTTTTCTTTCCTTGATGTGTCTTTGTCTGGTTTTGGTATCAGGGTGATATTGGCCTCATAGAATGAGTTTGGAAGGGTTCCCTCCTTATCTATTTCATGGAATACTTTGAAGTGTATTAGTATTTATTCTTCTTTGAAAGTCTTGTAGAACTCAGCTGAGAGTCCATCTGATCTGGGCTTTTCTTGGTTAGTTGGCTTTTGATGGTGTTTTCTATTTTATTACTTGAAAATTGATCTATTTAAAGCATGTATGACGTCATCATTCAGTTTGGGTAGGTCACATATCGTTAGAAGTTTGTTGATATCTTTAATATCTCCTATTTTATTAGAGTATAAATTTTCAAAATAGTTTGTAATTATCTTCTGTATTTCAGATGTGTCCATTGTGATATTTCCTTCTTCATCTTGTATTTTAGTAATTTGGAGTTTTCTCTTTGTTAGCATGGCCAGGGTTTATCTATTTTATTTATTTTTTCAAAGAACCAACTTTATGTTTTGTCAGTTTTTCCAATTGTTTCAATTTCATTAATTTCAGCTCTGATTTTAATTATTTCCTGTCTTCTACTGCTTTTGGTGTTGATTCATTTTTCTTTTCCTAGGG